AAATGGTCTAACCAAACCTTACCTAACCTAACGGGCTCGTGACAGATCTTACTCTACTCTTGACAGATCTTTCCCTACTCTCGACAGATCATATTCTCAAACTAAATGGTCCAACCAATCCTAACCAAACCTAACGGGCTCGTGACAGATCTTACTCTACTCGTGACAAATCTTTCCACACTCTCGACAGATCATATTCTCAAACTAAATGGTCCAACCAATCCTAACCAAACCTAACGGGCTCGTGACAGATCTTACTCTACTCGCGACAGATCTTATTATCAAACTGAAACCTAACCTAACGTAACCTAACCTATCCCAACCTAACCTAACTTAACCTTAGAGTTTGGACTATGGAGCTTGGACTATAGAGCTTGGACTATAGAGCTTGGACTATAGAGCTTGGACTATAGAGCTTGGACTATAGAGCTTGGACTATAGAGCTTGGACTATAGAGCTTGGACTATAGAGCTTGGACTATAGAGCTTGGACTATAGAGCTTGGACTATAGAGCTTGGACTATAGAGCTTGGACTATAGAGCTTGGACTGTAGAGCTTGGACTGTAGAGCTTGGACTATAGAGCTTGGACTATAGAGCTTGGACTATAGAGCTTGGACTATAGAGCTTGGACTATAGAGCTTGGTCTATAGAGCTTGGACTATAGAGCTTGGACTATAGAGCTTGGACTATAGAGCTTGGACTATAGAGCTTGGACTATAGAGCTTGGACTATAGGGCTTGGACTATAGGGCTTGGACTATAGAGCTTGGACTATGTATACGCATATGAATATAGTAAAAAGGAAGATACCTCTTGTAAACTAAAGGTATCGGGGGGGGGGGGCGGACATATGAGCTATTCAAAATCCCAAACAGGGTGCTTCGCTTCGCTCAGCAATCACATTTGGGAAGACACAAGATTTCTTAAGAGAAAAGATTTCGTCGGAACGCTTCAAGTGAGGCAGCATCTGAAGCCTAGTAAGGGTCTCTCGGAAAAGGTCGCAAGGGTTGAAGTGGGTGAAGCGATTGCAGCCCAAAACGTACGGAAGATGGCCCTTGTGCGAACGGGGTGATCAAGTTGGGTGCTTGACTCGGTTCTAATTGGCGGTGTCGAACGAGGAGAAACAACATTAAATCTCGGAATACGAATCCTGGAATTTCAATTGCAGCCAATTTCCCGTCAATTTCAGGATAAACTTCACTGATTTAAAAAAAAATTCTATGAATTTTGAATGTATTTTAGGATTTTTCAATAAATTTTATCACAATTCAAAGTCAGACCATGAATGCTGGTATGCAAATTTTTCGGAGTTGTTTCCCCTTGGCGTCGAAAGGTCCAAAAGGCTGCTCGCGTCGCCCATTGGGTGCGGTGCGCCTAGTGCCCTGGCCCACCATAAACCAGTCCCCTTTGTACGGACAGGTCCTCGCTTGTGCAATGCAAACTTTGCAGTGCGGGGCCCGAAATGGCAGACGGTGAGTTGTGGTCTAGCCACTTAAGTCAAGTAGCTGCACTCCCAACACGGCAGTCAGTTTGGTGGCCTACCCTCCCGGCGCTCCGGCTGTGCAGAGGTGATCCGCGCTGACGATCCTGCCCGACAACTTTTTGACGAGAGAGAGAGAGAGAGAGAGAGAGAGAGAGAGAGAGAGAGTGAGAGTGAGAGTGAGAGAGAGAGAGAGAGAGAGAGAGAGAGAGAGAGAGAATCTTAGATAGTCAATAGTCGGGTCTCCGCGCGTATGGACGAATCTTTTATATCGAGGCCAATTTTGGTCTGAAATGCATCTAGAGTAAGAAAACCCTCCAAGCTTGGGATCGCGTCAAGTTCATTTTCACTTTTCACCCCCATAAAAAATATCAAAATAATGACGGATCTTACGGATAAGAGATGACGGATGTTTCGGTCCCTGTACGAAAACTGCTCATCCGACTTTCCCCGTGTTAGGGCCTCTACTTCGGGTCTGCAGGCCTCAATCCCCTGTAGCGCAAGCTTTCAACATTTCTCGTTTGGTACGCACAAAACCTGTGTGTCTACTCAGTACACTCCTCCAGTCGCGTGCTTACAAGCATGCACTTCGAGGCGTGTACTTGATTGAGTACAGTGTGTATCCATTCAAATACACACTTGAGGTGCGGGCTTAGGCAAGTACACGCCTCGAAGTGCATGCTTGTAGGCACGCGACTGGAGGAGTGTACCGAGTACACACCGTGCGATTCGAGTGATCATCTGACAGAACAATGTATCATCGTAGGGAACCCCAACGCTGTTATTGTACGAATGCCATACATTTGCGCACACATTCGTCACGAAAAGTGCGATTCACTGAAATTCGAAGGGTGAGACATCTGACCGATTTTCGGTGTTACAAAAAGTATGACCGAAAAACGGTCATACACAAATGGATGACCGAAAAACGGTCATAAGGGAGGGTGGGGCACCATGACAACTGGGGCACCATGACCACCCCCCTCGCTCTCGGGAACTACTTTGCCGACGGCAACCGGTCAACCGGACTTTCGAGAGAATAGAATTCTAACTATTTTCAGCCAGAGCCCTACCTTCTAGCTTCAAGGGTACGACCATAGCACCCCGCCGAAATTTTTGTTACAGCGTTTTGGCTAAATTGGGCGTTTTTCAAATCTGATATATTTTTTCTCACTCTCACATTTGAGGAGATAAGTTCGATGTCTTAGGTTTTTCTCAAAATGTCGGCTCTCCGGCAAAATATCCAACATCACATTTAATTCTAAGTAGCCTTTTGCTTGCTCGGGGAGCCTTAGAGTCGTAAACGGCATTGTGGGGAGCCATGACCACTTTTTAGTGGGGCACCATGACCATACATATTTGAGTGTTTCTCACATTTTGGCCTGATAATGATTTATTTTCGTCGAAAATTTGCTTTTTGCTTCTGAAAATGTATAAAGGTTGAATAATTGCTGCAGAATAGATAGTTTTACCACAAATCGTGAATCACCAGGATTATTAAGAATGGTTCTGAAACTGAGACTTGAAATGAGTTTCTCTTGCACTAAATGAGCTCCAAACCGCAAAAGTTGGCCGCGAAGGCGATCCGTGGCTACTTTGCACCAAGATGGCTCTGGCATTATGAGAAACAGCATTTAATTCACTTGTTTGCAGTGTAGTAACCGCGATAATTTTCTTAAAATTTACCAAATTGAAATCTGCATACGAATGTGGATTCGTCTTAGCAAGACAAACATAAAATGTTAACGCATGTCATAGCTTTGGATGTGAAATTTGAAAGCCTCAGAGCGTTAACCGTTTTAAACCGTCCAAGGCATTTTAGAACGTTTGATACTTCGAAGGTTTTTACAGTGTTTTTTAGTTAAGATGACTGGCCTGATGGTAAGGACAGCGATATAAACAATTTCAATGAGAATACTGGTAGAAAGTACACTTTTTTGGGCCAAAAAATTACTATGGTCATGGTGCCCCACGGGGTGGTCATGGTGCCCCATAGGTGGGGCGCCATGACCACTTTGCGTTTTATTTTCCAAAGTGTTCTGTGAGCCTGCCGTGCATTGCAGACAAGTTCCAATGGATGGAAGAGGTCCTTGGAGGTCCAATGAATCCCCTCATGCTGGAAACTTAACTTTTCGAACCACACGGTGGAGTAGAGGGAGGCACAAAAAAAAGTGGTCATGGTTCCCCACCCTCCCTTACTTAAATGTGACCAAAACAAGGTCAGACATCAGCGAGACTGGCTATTGTTTAGCTTGGGGATATATCAGCCTTTACCTGTGATACATTATAAAGTATGACCGTTTTTCGGTCATTTATCGAAGTATGACCCTTTTTCGGTCGCACATTTCAGTAAGACCGTTTAAAGGGTCAAAAGTCCGACCTTCCTATTTTCAGTGTTGGATCTGTGCCGCCTACCGGCCGGCAGGGCCTGGTCGGAGCCAAGCTGGTGAGGATGACACTTGGGTAAACGTAGAGGGACGAAACCGCACGCTAGATATCCCGGAATTTTTTACCATTCGTGTGCCATATTTGTGCACGTGTAAGTTGTGTAGAAACTTTGTGCATAGGTTAGATTTTTTTATTGTAAATAATGAAGCACAATGAAAATAATTTCTGTAATTTATTTATTAAATTGTGCATAGGTAGGTACATATGGCAATAGTTATGAAACTATTAGTGTGCGAACAAACGAGGGATCACTGTTGCACTAGATGCTTGGTCCAGTAAACGTGTGTGTGCACTAGTTAGTGCATAGTCAAAGCGCCAGTTTGCCATGTTTCAATTTGTGCATGCAGTACTTCACACTCATTTACTATGTAATTTTTTTGTGCCGAAGCTTTTCACAAAACTGAGCATACGTTTAAAATGCACAAATTTTCGCGTAACTAATCGCGAAAGTGTGCGATGTTGCGCATGAATTCGTGCATTGCAGGCGCATGCTCAATTCCGTGCGAAAGCTGTACACAATTTAACTGCATAGTAATTTCGTGTTCGATTTGGAGGCTTTCTGAGAGCTCCGCGCAAGGCGAAAACGGTAGGCGCTGCACTGAAAAACCGAACGTGGTCTAGACCGCACCACTGGTGTGGTCAAATGGGTGCCATTTTGACCGCATCAGTTGGTGGGTCTTGACCACTTCTGGCCACGTTTGGTGTTGTCTTTCCACGCAATGACCACACCAAACGCACCAAACGTGCTCTAGACCACGTTTGGTCTTTCAGTGTGGTGAAGGTGGTCCAGCGGTCGCCTCTGCGTGCCCCCACTGGGTGAGGCGACGCCGAACGCGGTCAACGACGGTTCAAATCCCGCGGCAGGTGATGCTGCGGCTCAAGATGCAAAACACGGAGGCCCCCTCCAGTCTAATTCCTGTCGCCCCATTCCGAAAGGTGATCGTTCCGTCTCTCTCGCACTCGTGCGACGTTCCGCACGGGCGCGAGAGAGACAGAGCGATCCTGGAGGTGGCTGGCCGGCGGCGATGACGCACTCGGCGCCTTGTTTTGCAGCTTTATTTTCTCACAGTGCCGTGCCTGCGCGTCCAGCCAGTCGGGCCGGCGCACGCGCAAGGCTGAGGAGGTGCCGGCAGTGAGGCCGACATGGGCAACGCCAGCAATACCGCTGCGGAAGAATTCGCGCTTTTGACGTCGTGAAGTGCGTGGAGTCTGTCTGCACCCTGCCCTAGCCAGGATGGGGTTACCGGGATGGTGAGTACACTCAGAGTGTTTTACGGTGAAAGGCAGCACCACACGCTTAAAACCTTACGAAGTATTTTGAGCATACACAGTACAAACTAATTCACTTGTTATACGAAGAAATAGTTCGTAAATTATGAAGTTTTTTCTTTGAAAGCTTATGTATGCTCAGAACACTTTGTTATAACAGGCTGCTTTTCTTTGTAAGGCTTAAAATAGTCAACAAATTTGTAAGGTTTTCTTAAAGCAACATATTATGGCGAAAATTTTCGCCATAATGCAAACGATATTCGTCAAAATACCTGTAAGGTACCATGAGTTCTCTAAGGTATGTTAAAAAGTCAGCTGCGGCAACATAATTTAGAATTTTCACCATAATAGAGAGAATTTTAGAGTGTACACGACTTTAAGAGTGTACAATAAAGAGGCGTGTATATTATGCTCACAGTCTTAGACTCGCACTGATTGTTTCACTAGCAACGTATTGACGATTTTCAAAGTCATTGGAGTATGTTTTCATCAATAACTTACTGCCTTTTTTCTAGTCTAATGTTTTAAATGTACCCATTCGTTAATGAATAAATAACAAAATGACTGAAAGGATGAGAGTGTAACTGGGTGTAAACGACAATCCCCCCCTGGGAATCTGGGAATCACTTAAAATGTGACTGGCAGTCATTCTGGAATTGGATTGAGCAGGTCTTTCTTTATTTATCTGCATGTGGCTTCATTCATGATATCCGCCCTGCACCCATCAAAACTGTGTTCAGTCTTAAGGACAACGTCGCGGGGACGTTCCTTGCACTACCTCTTCTCTTTTTCTGACAGAAGGTTTTCTTGTGGTTGTTTCTAGCTGCCTAGTCCTGTTCCTAGCGACCATCGCGGTCGCCCACAACGGCCCCGGCCACCTCATCCCCCCATCTTCGCCCTGCCCGCTGGTGTTCCGATATGAGCCCAGCCCGACGGCCGCCACCGGCTGGATCGGAGTGGTTCGCCTGCTAGCGCCCCCCAAGTAAGTTCAAACTGCCAATTGGCATATTTCGAAGGGTTTCATTCAAAAGATCTTGTCTGGTCGTTTCCGTAGGAACTATCTTATCCGAAACCGAAACGCAAGCAAGTTTCGCTAAGTTTGATCCTTTGAGACAGGCTACAAATCAAAGTAACTCGTAATTTAATTCACGTGAACTTTAAGATGAAAGATTAAAGAAACCAGTCCGTCTGCAGAAAATAATTTAAACAGGAGGTACTCTCATATTCCAGGAACATGACATCACGTTTGAAACGAATGTGACAAAATGTCACGCTTCTTTGAGCATTATGTCACATTCGTTTCAACGTGAATAAGCTAATTAATGGCCGATTCACGTCCACCCAAATGTGACACAATGCTCAAACTCAAAGGAACGTGACATTTTGTCACATTCGTTTCAACGTGATGCCACGTTCCTGGGATGAGAGTGTCTAACGTCAATTGACAAAACTGTCAATACAAGGCTGAGAGTGGACCAAGGAGTTGATCGCACGGTAAAAACGGAACCTGGTTTTCCCAGGAAGCCAATGGTGAAGGTATAGGCGATTTCCAGGAGGTTCCTGGGAAAACCAGGAACCGTTTTTACCGTGCGTGCCGCGCAGGTTCTCCGCGCTGCACCTGAGCGTCCACCTCGCCGCCCGCCAGCACCTCCCCGGCGAGCCCGGCACGCTGTCGCTGCGCGGGGGCGTGGCGGCGGCGCGCGCCGTCATCCGCGCCACGCAGCAGGGCCGCCGCGCGCCGCTGGAGTTCGTAGCCGAGTTCCCCTGCGCCACCGTCATGGTGCCCGCCCTGCTCAACGTCACCGCCAACGGTCGAGTCTTCTGCTCGGCCGCGGCAGGTAAGGGTTCAAAGCCACCCACACACACTCACTCTGAAAACCTTACGAACTTTTTAAGTCTTACGAAGTGAAGGATCTTGGTACAACTAAGTATTTTGACCATACACTGGTGAAACAAAGGCATAACAATTTCACCCTTAAGAGCATAAATACTCTTTACGCGTTTCATGCCTTTGCAAAGGAAGAGAATCGTATAGGAATTTTAAGCAAAGTTTTAATGCCCTTCCAAAACGCATAAACAATTCACGCCGCTCGAGGGGCGCAAATTGTATACGCCCTTAAAGGGCATGATTTTAATCCCTTTGTTTCACCAGTGTACGTACGGTTACAAAGCTCATGTAATTTACGAACCATTTATTTGCACACAAACTAAATAGATTTTACCTTACATAATGCTCAAAATACTTCGTAAGGTTTCAAGCGTTCAAATGCTGTACAAATTTTGTTCCAGATGACGTCACAGTTTTCTTGTGCAAATTAACTTTTCGCACAAATTTGAACGCGATTTTGCACAAAATTGGGGGGCGCGTTTTTTTGTAGGAAAAGTACTTGTGTACCTTCGTATCAAATAGCGTATAGTATTAACTGTCAAGTTAATGCCTTGAACTTAATGCTTCACACCTTGGAGCCATTTTTTAACGGCATTTAATTTTAACGCTCTTCTGTAAAGAATTTATTTTGGTCCCAAAATATTTTCTCCCTTTGGAAGTACGTTCGTTTCTCACTTTAGGGCTTATTTTTCAGCCTTCGTCTTCCCAGAGTATCTTGTTCGACTTGCTTCCATGTCAAGAATTTCTCGTCACAATGAACGCTGATGATTTTGACCATACAGTGGCTATATGAAAGCTAGTTTTGTGACTGCAGCATTTCTCTGGGCGGTGCGTTTTTGAGTTCTGAAACCCTCGCGTTGCTAAGCGAAATAATTGATTGATTCAAGAGCCTGCCGACACCAAAAGCACCATCTCCCTGGAAGCGGACCTGGAGACGGGGTTCGACCGAGCGGCACCGGGCGACGAGGACTTCGGAATCGCCCCGGAAGGCAGCAAGGTCTGGTCTGGCCAAAGCGAGCCGGCACGAGTCTGCATGCCTGCGGCACCACCCCACGACTCCAGCCCCAGCGAGGCACCTGAAAATACGTCAGTAACAGTATAAATACAGTACAAATTTGGTTCTTTTGTTCGCTGTCACACAAATTTCGTTGGGTCCTTTGAAATTGTTGAACAAGTGATACATTTATTTCGTGCAACTGTAGAATGTACTGACTTCGCCGAAATCTGGGGAAAACCTGCAGGAAAAGCGCGTAGCTTGAAAATGTGTGAAACATTTCGAAAATTTTAATAACTTATATGTAATGAAAACTTTGATTACATTGTAATGATTATAGTTTCATTACATTTCCATGTAATGAAAATGTAATTAAATTTTTTTTAACCGTGCAGAAATTGGATGTGTAAAACTCAAACCCCTGATTTACTGAGCCTTTTTCTGGCGCAGTGCGCCGGGCCCGAGCCCCTCTGTCATCAACCTGCCGGCCGTCAGCAGAGTGCCACCCGGCCTGCCGCTGTTCAGGCCGCCCCCTCCGCCTCCATCCACCTCCATGCCTCCTCCAGAACCGCCGGCGCCGCCCCCTCACCACTCAGCAGAGGGTTTCGTGCAGCCGAGCCCCACCGATGGTAGGTTTCTCAGCAACAAACGGGAAGTATCTTTTTCGGTGACTGTCAGGTCAGTTCGAGTTGTATTGGGGCGGGTTGAAAGTGAGGTGGCTGGTTCCTGGACACTCGTGCACTCTTAGCCTTGTACTGACAATTTCTCATTAGCAGACGCATTTCTGTAAGCAACCATTACTTTTTAGCAGATGATACGTTCACGTATCAGCGTGCTTGTACTCTCGTGCAGAGAGTACCGAGTTTCCGGCTAGCCAGGCAGCAGTTGCCTCGTTGCCTGACTAGCAAGCCTAGAAGAGGCCGAGCGCCTCGCTGGCAAGGCAGCGGCTGGCTGGCCTGCCTAGAAGATTATGAGCGGAGGGCCCTCAGCGTGCCGCACCGCGCCGCGCCGTACCGCGCGCCGCTCATGGAATCGGGGCGCCTGCGGGGGCTCGGGTTGCGCGCGCGGTGTATAACCTCGACACCCAGCTCTCTAGTACTCATGAAGTGCGTCCCTCGCGTTGCGCGTCGTTACGAGACGCTGCTAGCACGCATCGCGTAGCTGCCCCCCTCGCCCATTCCCTTGCCGAGACGCCACGTCCCACCGCGCCCCGCCACACCCCGCAGCAGTCTACACACACACGCACCTGAGCCTTGAGTGCGTAGAACGCATAGTGCAGCGCCCCCCCGAACCCCTGCCCCTCTCGAGAAGCGGCGCGTCGGCAGTCGGCAGTGTGCGCCACTCTTGTTTATCTATCTTGAGGTCGGGTTCGGGTGGCGCGCCGGCCGGCCGGCCCCGCTTGGAGATGTGGCTGACACGCCGCGTGCCGCAACGCGCCTTGCCCTAGTACCGAACACAACTTTTACGGGTATTGAGTATTTATGTGATTAGCCACCAAATTGTGCATCCTCGCGTTGAGACAACGAAAATGATACCCAACACAAGTGGTATCGGACATATGAGTGTCCCACCGTCATTGCGAACATGTTTAACACAAAACAATGGCACGTTAGGATATTCAAAATTTATAATAAAATTGACATTTTCATGAATTACCATGTGTAAGAAATTTGTCAAAAAAAGAGTTCCGAGTGTTTACTCTTTGAAATAAATTGACAAAATGTCACATTCATACATTTCAATAAACATTCTCATAAGTATCATCTGCTTTCACGTTAGCGTTAGCGTTAACGTTTTTTTTGTCAGTATTACTTAGCAATTTCTTATAACTGGGACATTACCGTATTCTAAGTAAATTACAAAGAAATTCCCTCCTGGGGGAAAATATTTAATGACAGTTTAGTGGAATATTTGACCCTCTGGCTTTTGGTAGCATGCGGGCGAGCGTGGGGGGCCAACCCCTTGGTGACCCGCGGCGCGGCCGCTGCACGCGGACGCTGGCCCTGGCTCGTGGCGCTCTTCAAGAAGCTGGGACGCCGCGACCAGCTGGGCCTCAACTTCGAGTGTGGGGCCACGCTCGTGTCCAAGAAGCACGTTATCACAGGTGAGCCACACCCGAAATTCCTTACGAAGAAATTTTCGGAGGAAACGGCGTAGCCGCGCAATACGAACGTGTAGTGTTTCTTCCTATCACACAGGGTAATAACGGTAAAGACTTTTTGTACGACTAAATTTTAGCGAGACTTCGATCGCCTTTAAGGTGAAAAGAAGTGAGAGCTTCGAATTTTTCACGCGAACGGACACGATTCACGTTGAAACGAACGTGGCGTGATTCATCGACATACTTCCCTGGTGGCCCGCGTCGCCCTTCACGATCCGAATTCGACACGCGGCCTTTTACTGCGCACTTGGCGCCACTGCCAAAGCGTTGCTTTCTCGCGGAAAAGACGTGGTTGTGTTTGGACTCGCACACTGTCGCGGAAACACATTCAGGTTGACTCACTCCCAATTCGTTCCAATTTTTGATTTTGGTAGTGTAGTCCAATCAGCAATGCTTTTGCATCGTACGTGAAGGGCAATGCCATCCCGTGCCTTAGGGAAATTTTCGGACCCATCGCGGACAAGGAGCGCTGGACTGTGGCATTGCATTTTGGTGCTCACGTGGTATGTTTATAGCCAGCCGTTAGAATCGCAGTGCATTCTTGATCGCCGCCCCACACTGCGTCGAAATTCATGGCAATTTGTCTGCACTGAGAATCCAAACGCTGAGTATAGCGTCAATTCACTGACAAAAATTTTGTCGTAACTTAGCGACACATTTATCGCTAATTTTTTTAACGACAAGATTTGTTGTGGAACGAATAGCTTGTTAAACCAAACTCGTACTGGAACTAAAGGATAATTTCACAACGACTAACTTGTAATAACACATTAGCAGTCTACTTTCAAATACAAGTCGTTGACCAACAACAAATGTTGTTGGTCTTCTTTGATTTGGAACGACTAAATTTCCACTCATCTGATTGTTTCTATACAACCATTTTTTAACAGTGTTGGTGCAATGCAAAAGCATTGCACATGAAGTGCAATGCTTCCCATTCCCATGCATAAGCATAGGGCATTTTCGGGACGCATTGCATGTAAGGTGCAATATGACTGAGGCATTGCACGTATGGTGCGATTGCATTGCACCATACGTGCTATAGGGGTAGGTTGGGGAAGAAAAGTACAAAACGCGTACTTTGCACTGTACAGAAGTTCCAAATGAGGATTCAACTATTCTGCTCTCGTGATCTTGTAATCCAATGCCTTCCTAATGAAATGGATCACTGTTCATTGATTATAGTTCCCCACATTACGCACAACATGCCAAAATGTATGTGATTTCGGAACTCCTCGAAAAGGGTAAGAAAAGTACACCACCGGGTAAGAAAAGTACATCGAAAAGAATTGCTATTTCGAACCAGGAAACCACCAATCTTGGCTCAATACAGGTTTACCCCTTAAGTGGAGAGCTTTCACTTGCCTTTAGTTCAAGTTTCGTCAAAATCGGTCAATTGGTTCTGATTCTACGTAGACTCATCACAGAAGGTCCAAAAAGCTTTTTCTCAGAGGTAAGTGGGTACAGCATACTTTTCTTCCCCTTTTCACGTAAATGCCCAATAACTTGTTTGTTTCAAGTCTAATTCTATAACTTGTGTTGACATTTTTTGCTTGTCTCGCCTAATCAAATCTATTTCCGTGATCAATTCAATTTTCATCCCGCTTTTAGTTTCTTAGAGGGTGTTTTTTTCTTCTCCAATGCCTGTACTTTTCTTCCCCAGCTGACTGTACTTTTCTTCCCCATTTCATTTTTACACTTATAAAAAATTGTGCTGAAGCCTAAGAGCATCGAACGGCACTGTTTTTCAAAGATTATGGTCTAAGCTATGAGGTGGTACCTTACATTGGACTGTCGGCTGATTCTGCAGGAAGCTGTACTTCAAAGTACAAACATTAAAAAAAAAGATTTTCATAGTTATTTTTAATGTTTTTTTTTAAACGCGCAGTTTGATTCTGAATATTAGATGTAGAACTGTGCTAAATTTATTTTTTGTCAGCGGGATGACCAATCTTTCTAAAACCACTAATGTGATGGTTCAGTGTAGTTTCAGTTCGGAGATATAACGGGTGTACTTTTCTTACCCAAGCCTCGAGTGTACTTTTCTTACCCAACCTACCCCTACTCATAGCGTTTGGAATCTCAGTGTGAAATGCATCCTAAATTCAGCAATTGGTGCACTGAAGTTTTCAGTTATTTTCTCTTGGCCTTGGAAATCTTAGTGCATTCTTGACCGCAGCGGCCCACTGCGTGGAGTCCCGACGCGGCCGGCCCGTGGACGCGGCCGTGCTGGTGGTGTACCTGGGCAAGCACGACCTGCTGTCGTACACCGAGCCGGGCCAGCAGACGGCCGAGGTGGCCTCGGTGCGCATGCACCCGCAGTACGGCCGCGACACTGCCTACGCCAACGACATCGCCCTCCTGGTGCTGGCCGACCCCGTGGAGCCCACCAGGCACATCCGGCCCGTCTGCCTCTGGGAGTCTGCCGGCGCGGACACCGACTCTCTCGTCGGCAAGATCGGCGCCGTAAGTTGAGGACTGTACATGTCTTACGGTGAATTGCTGCACCAACGTCACGCAAGAAAAAACCACAACAAAAGTACACAAATTTCTGGCAAATTTTTTATCCGGTATTTACTATACTTTCAAAGTACAACAATTGTTGTACAAAGAACAATGGAACCGGCATGAGTGCCGGGCAGTTCAGGCCTCGATGTAGTTCGTACAATCCTCGTTGTACTTTGTACAACCCGGTTGTACTTTTATTGTACAGTTTTTGTTGTACTTTTCACACTTTTTCTTGCAGTGACATATTATGGTGGAGATTTTGTCCATAATACCAACGAAAGTCGTCAAAATATCTATAAGGTACACTGCAAGAAAAAGTGTAGATAGTGTAACAAATGTACAACAGAAACTGTACAATAAAAGTACAACAGGGATTGTAGAAAGTACAACGAGAATTGAACAAACCACAACGAGGCCTAGACCGCACAGCACTCCTCATGCCGGTTCCATTGTTCTTTGTACAACAATTGTTGTACTTGAAAAGTACACTAAATTCCTAATAAAAAATTTGCCAGAAATTTGTGTACTTTTGTTGTGGTTATTTCCTGCAGTGTACGGTGAATTCTCAATGGTACGTTATGAAGTCAGCTGCGCCACCATAATATGGAACATTTTCACCATAATATGGAGAATCTTGACTGTACAGCATTTAGAATGAGGAATTTTTTTGGTTGCGTCGCGCAAACCGTTTGCAAATGAGGTACTTCGGGGAAGAGCTATATTCTGCTTCGTCTCGCACTTCAAACCTCTTTAGGTACGCAATTACAAATGCATGCTTGCAAGTACACGATTACAAACGCAAACTTGGCCAAGTACAAAGTACACACTGACAATTGCATGCTTTGCGCCGTATAACTCCATGCTACGCATATGCATTTGTAAGTGTGTACTTGAAAGCATGCATTTGGAAGTGTGAACTTGGTAGACCCTGCCACGGCGAATGCGTTTTCGAACTATTGCTGTGCAACATTGGAAACTGGTTCATCAAAAGTACAGCATACTCGGTTTTGTTCTTACCACCTCTCATGAAAAACTTTAATCGCCCGTGTAAAAACGAATTGTTCCGAAATCCTGCCGCCAGCCGTCCGAAAGAGCCCCCGCCACCTCGGGCTGTTCCCAGAAGCGTCCGAATGCCCTCGGACGATTCCGTGGTTAGTCCGCGAAAGGGCCGCTGTTCGGACGGGCCAGACCGATATGTGCCCGGGACTCCCTGGAAAGTCCGGGTCGGTCCGCCGGGAGTCCGGGGCAGCGGACTTACCCGGAATACGTCCGAGGGTCTCCCCTCCGGACTGTTTTCGTAATTCTGTGCCGTTTCCCCCTCGCTTTGGAACTTAGACAAATATTCCTCTAACGCAGCTACAGTTGAGGTATGTCCAAGTGATTCCGCAATGTTCAATCTCAAACATTCGCCTTTCGTAAGGAAAAGAATAAAAAAATTATTGGAAATACAGCAATTTTTTGTCGTTTCTGAGTATGTGCCGAAACAAATACCACAGAACGTGGTTAAAATTGCAAGAATGCATTCAGTCAATTAATTTAAATTGTTTCGTACAACCGTAGAAACATGAAACTTTAAATACAGGTATGCATAAGAAAACGTGTTTGACGTAAAATATTTTAAATTCGAGGTCCCCCTGAGAAATCCCCACTCTTCTATCTTGAAAATCGCGCCTCCTAGCGCCCAGAGGAAGGAGCGGAGCGGAGAGCGCAGCGCAGAGTCAGTGAAGAGGCTCACCGGAGCTCCCAGTCCTCATCTGTCGGGCTAGCTCAGTTGGCTCCGACGTCAGCACTGGTGTGCAAAGAAAGAGAGGAAGGCGGGAAGCGAGGGTTCGAATACGGCTAGCCTCTGGCTTACCGCCGTCGGGTTTTTTTCGGAACCGAGACTCGGACAGTCCGAAACCAGCCCGCATTTCGGTTTTCGGACACATCCGTAAAGTTGCCGATTTGGGAACATTCTGGAGCTTCGTCGGACTAGCCCGACGGACCTCTTTCGGGCTGGAACCCCGCTCGGACGGATCTCGGAGCAAATAATTTTTATAAGGGCGTGTCCCATATTTCTTTTTGAGTAAAAAAACTTACTTTAGTATTTGATCTATAACTAACCAAATGAATGATGCAGATAGACATGTATTAGTATAAAAAAGCATGATTATCAACCGAGAAAATTTGCAAAAAATTGCAAAAACTAATGAAGGTGTTTTTTGCTTCCAATTCCAGGTGCCGGGCTGGGGCAAAGACGACAGCGGCGCCATCTCGAATGAGATCCGCGTGGCCAACATGCCTGTCGTGTCGCAGGAAACGTGTCTGCGGTCGAACGTATTCTACCTGTCCTTCACCTCCAACACGACATTTTGTGCCGGATTTCGAAATGGTGAGGCCATATTCGGCTCTCCATTATTCTCACCACTTTACTCCATTGGGAAGATTGTCAGTGGACTAGGAGGCGCGAGGGGGCTACTTCTTTTGATGTGCACTGGGAATCCAAACGCTATGTGTATAGCGTCAATTGGTGCGATGCAAAAGCATTGCACATGAAGTGCAATACCTCCCCATTCCCATGCATTAGCATAGGGCATTTTCGGTACGCATCGCACGTAAGGTGCAATGGCTATCGCATTGCACGTATGGTGCGATATCTCAGCTGCATTGCACCATACGTGCTATACTCTTAGCGTTTGGAATCTCAGTGGGGGACAGAGAATTTCTGATTGGAAGAGATTTCGTCGAATTTCGCAAGATTGCGATCTATTTTAAACCTAAAATTCGATTGTGTTTTTTCCTTTCTAGGGGAAGATTTTAGATTGCCAGAGATTTCAGGTTCTAAAGCGGGCACAGGATTTCTTGAGTGGTTGCCCCCCAGGAGACGGGTAGTTATTCCGATTTTTACACTGTAACTCAACGACCGTGACTCGTTAGAATGTGTTTGTCACGTTCGTTTGAATGTAATGCCGTATTTCTTTGAATAATGATCCCGTTCCAACGAATGTGACGTCACATTTTAACGGTCGTGTCACGTTCCAAAGAATGTGACGTCGCATTCAAACAAACGTGACAAACTTCACACTCTACCGCATGGCGTCACATTCGTTGAATAACAGTATACTGGGCATGCCACACTCTTAAAAAGATCAGTACAGATTTTTGTAACATGGTAACGCAGCTTTTTCAATAATGTTATAGAAATTTGTGTGGCATTCGCACATAACAGTTTATCTACTGTGGGATTCCCTATGATGATTCGTTGTTCTGTCCGCATGATCACTCATTTGTATCACGATGGGTACAAATTTTTTCTGTAACTTGGTTACACGTTGTTGCACACTTAATAACTATGTAGGTTTTTCTGGCATGCATGAAGGCCAATGCATGAAATTAAACATGCACTTCGTAACGCACAAATTTGTGCGTTACGAAGTGCATGTTTAATTTCGTGCATTGGCGCGCAGAAAAACCTACATAGTAATTTAGTGTGTATACAGCGAGGGGGTAAACACTTCGGTGAACCTTGTGCAGACTACTCCCTATTACGGGGTATTACACTTGTATTACGCATGTTACGCTTCGATTTCATTGAAAAATGACATTTTTTAAATACTTTTGGTCCCAAAATGTATTACTATTACGCGCATTACGGCGTAATACCCGACTTTTGTGTACAGGGTATAACGCAAGTGTTTACCCCCTCGGTATACAGGGTGAGTTTCCTCAATGTGTCAATAATTGCAGGCAGTTTGGGCATCCCTAGGGGACCATTTTTCGCCAATGAACTAGTGGGGGCAAACGTCTAGGTATGGAGATGATTGCTGTTTTGTAATTGGATTTTGCGCCTACGAGGTAGGCACCCGGTGCCACTGAGGGCGGCAGGACCTGTCGAGGTGGTGTCGCGGGACTAGCAGTACTCGCGGGAGTGCCACTGACCTCGCGGAAGTATCCGAGGAATCCCGCCACCCTCGCAAAGACAGCCGTGAGATCCACTGTAACGGGGGCCACCATGACAGCCTCTTCAGACCCGCGGCAACCCCTCCCGAAAGACATTTGCAAGGTCCGCCGCACGAGACTCGAAGCACCCCTCCTAGACCCGCGACACCCCCACGCGAGGTCCTGCGACCATCAGTGGCAGCGGGTGCCTACCTCGCAGGCGCGAAGGCCAATTATAAAACACAAATTATCTCCGTACTTAGAGGTTTGCGCCCACTAGTTTATTGGTTGAAAATGATCGCCTTGGGGTGCCCAAACTACCTACAAATTATTGACACATTGAGAAAACTCACCCTGTACTGTTGTTCAACGGACTAATCGATCCGGCTACTTCCGCGCAGGCACCAGCGTCTGCAACGGGGACTCCGGCGGCGGCTTGTTCGTCAAGGAGCCAGACGGTCGCTGGCGCATCCGGGGCATCGTCTCCGTGTCCATGTTCAGCGTCAACGAGCAAAGCTGCGACTCGTACAACTATGCCGTGTTCACGGACGTGTCCAAGTTCCTGCCCTGGCTCTACGACGAGATGCACCCCACACTGTAAAGATGGGTTGTCACTTCATGACGAAATTGAAGATGATCTTTTCATCACTTTAAATTCATGCTGATTTCATCCCAGCCCCTACGCTTAGGCATGAGCGTGACAACGACGTCATCAACACGTTTTATAACATCCTTGTGAGGAAAAATAAGCCTTGAAATTGTCGTGTGACTTCCAAATTCGTTACAGTTGTGGTGAACCGGTGACGTATACTATGTATAAACGGTGAACGGTGGTTGCTGCAGGAAAATGCTTTAAACTTGAAGTGAAGACCTCTGTGTAAGACTCTGTTTTTGTTATCAATAAAAACCGACCAATATTGATGCCTGCATGAGTACTTCTACCCCTCTGGGACAGCTGTGGGTTGAAACCTTGGTTTAAACAGCACCAGTCGTCCGAAATCGGACCTCAGAAATCAGGTGCGATATACCAAGGGTCACATACTGCTAAGAAACGAGTCGTTTGGGCTCCAACTCCGAGGCTAGCTTCCACCGAGTCATGAGATACGCCTGACGATAGGCAGCCCAACAGGCGCCGGAAGGGAAGCCTACTTCAAGGCGCATGTGTTGCGCCGCTGCGACGTGGACAGCGTCTCCACTTTTGCCAGCGTGTAAAAAACGTAAGGAAGGGCGGGGCAGTTCTGGGGGCAGTTCGTAACAGAAGTGGAAAGTTCCACCCTTTTAAGGGGAGGTTCTACTGAAAATATTGCATTTTTCAAATTGAGACCCAGTGTAAAAATTTGTTGCAGATGTGTAGTAATACATAGTTAATGGTCAAACATGAAATTTAGAGCCCAATACCTCCCTCCAAATCTAGTTGAAGAGGTTTTTTCAGCCTATTGTAGCAATATCTTAAAAAATTCTCCTACGCAAAGCATTTCAACGTAAACTGATGTTCTGGACATTTTTCACTTCTTTGGCTCATATGCAATAAAGCGTGGCATCACCAAGACATGGGACCCAACAAATTTATTTTGTCGTTGCTTTTCAGAAAAAAAGTCACTAAAATATCAGAAATTTTAACATTTTCTTGAAATTTTATTGACATGCTGTCTTAAAAACACAGCTTATGGTTTTGTAATGGTCCCAGTATCTTACTAATGCCACGGTTTATCAATTATGAACCAAAGAAGTGAAAAATGCCCAGAACATCAGTTTACGTTGAAATACTTTGCGTAGGAGAATTTTTCAAGTTACGACTGGAAATAGCACAAAATTCCTCTTCGACTGGGTTGGGGGCTAGGTATTGCTCTCCAAACTTCAAATTTAACTATTTACTATGAAATACTTTAAATTTACAATGAATATTGATAATGGGACTCAATTTGAAGAAAGTAAGATTTTCAGTAGAACCTCCCCTTAAGGCCTTTGAACTGCACCTGTCACGACCGTGTCGGTTGTAAATCTAAAGGACCCTCACGATAGAAGACGATTCATACTCATATTACCTTGGAGAGGCCCAATTTAAGGGGAAATGATTGTGACTTTCAGTGTACAAATCTAATGGAATTTCACTTGATTTTGATTTTCGGGCAAAAACAACTGAATTTTTGGAAGAAAAGTTCCAATAAATTTTAGTATATTTCTACTGTCTGGTGAGTATTGTACAAATTTGGCCACAGTTTTCCCTTGGCTCCATTGCATAATTTTGGGCGTTTCTTACGAACTACTCAAACCTCCCCTATCGCCCACGCCGATGCACGGAAAAAGTACACGAACGACTCAGCATATCCTTTTTAATCTGTTGTGTTTGTATTTGGTGGGCAATGTTCAACCATGGAAGATGGATAAAACCTTGTGGAGCTTTTTCTTGGCGTTCTGATACAGCTTCTTAAGGCGAGGGTCGGGGTGCGTGGGGTTCACTGTAAACGACGGTCCGCTGGTCTCGGAGCCATCGCCTTCGCCGTTGTTCGCGGCGTCCGCTCCTACTGCCGCTGCGGGGGTCCCGGTCGCAACGACCGCCGCCTGCGACAAAAATCAGGTTGCAAAACGATTCGCTTTCCATTGACTACCGTTGCGACTACACTCTAAGTGTCTTACGAAAACAATTCCCTTAGTATGAAGGAAACGGCGAAAGCATGATACAAATGTAGGCCGTAGAAAGCGGCACTACACGGTATTTGATTTTCAGTGAGTTTACGATCATAGAACAGAACCCGGTCCAGGTCCTTGGAAATTGCGCTTACCGCGAGGAGCGCAACCAGGGACAGGACAAGGAGAAGTCGCATGTTGGCCTCAGACTACTGCGTGGTGCTGTGGTTCATTCTTTATAGGCGTTTCTCGCTGAAGTGTAGCACGAGCTGCCACATCGTGCTTCATGCTGTGCTGACGCCGCAGACAGGTGCACGTACGAGTGAACACTCTCCAAGTAAAACTGAGAAAGGCTCAAGTATTCGAAAATTTTTACGGTAAAAACCGATGCGGGTTTCCTCAGGTAGCCTAGTACAGACATACACGCTAAAGTTGGAGTGCTCAGAAACTGGGCGCCTTTGTCGCCCGCCCCAATTTTGGGGGTGCCAAATGTCTCCCAGTTTCTAGGCACCTTTTTCGCCTACTCTCGAGGGGGAAATAAACCATCAAGGGACCGCCTTCACCCATGGCTCAGCAGCGCCTTAGGTGCCAAAGATGCCCAGAATCTAGGCAGCTTAGTCGCCCAGGAAGTAGACACCTGTGCATGCTCTACCATGGGAGAGGGCCAGTCACTATTGGGGCATTCCATCCCAAATCGGCCACTTTTGTAGGTCACCATTTCGGATCATGATGAAAATTTTTTTGTAGGTAGACCTTATCAAAAAAACATTCTGTGCAAAATCTCAGACAGATCGGTCCAGTAGTTCCTGAGAAAAGCGCCCTCAAAGTTTTAGTCAAAACTTCATTTAGGTGGTTTGAGCAAATTCGCACTTTTTCACGTTTTGGCCGATACCTCCGTCACCATTCAAGCTACGATGATTCCCAGCACGGTTTCTGATAGGGAATACTGTGAGGATTCAGAAAATGTACTTGGATTTGAGATGCGACTAGGTAAAGGTGGTGAAAAGTGTGAAAAATCGGAGAAAATTTGTTTTTTTGGACCAATTTTCAGTGAGTTTTCCGGCCTATGCCCATATCGTGAAAATCCAAACCGAATAGCGGAAATAGTAGTCCATACCATGCCCAAACACGCTACGATCTCGGAATTGTTGGGTGTGGGTCTAGTTTCGGAGCTGCAGCGACTTGAAAATTCATAAAAATAGGTCAAATTCTGTTTTTGGCCAAAGTGCACGCGGGCAGTTTTTTATTGAACACCCCTGACAAACTGAGGGCCAGGTCAACTCAGGGGTAACTCGGGGGAAAGTCGGGGGGAAGTCGGGGGTAACTCGGGGGTAACTCGGGGGTAACTCGGGGGTAACTCGGGGGGTAACTCGGGGGGAACTCGGGGGGAAGTCGGGGGAAGTCCGGGGGGAAGTCCGGGGGGAAGTCCGGGGGGAAGTCCGGGGGAAGTCCGGGGGGAAGTCCGGGGGGAAGTCCGGGGGGAAGTCCGGGGGGAAGTCCGGGGGGAAGTCCGGGGGGAAGTCCGGGGGGAAGTCCGGGGGAAGTCCGGGGGGAAGTCCGGGGGGAAGTCCGGGGGGAAGTCCGGGGGGAAGTCCGGGGGGAAGTCCGGGGGGAAGTCCGGGGGAACTCGGGGGGAAGTCCGGGGGAAGTCCGGGGGAACTCGGGGGCAAGTTGGGGGTAACTCGGGGGCAAGTTGGGGGTAACTCAGGGGTAACTCGGGGGCAAGTCGGGGGGAACTTGATCGACTCGCCCAAACACTAGAAATACGCTCCAAACTAGCACCGTTGCCTTTGTCTTGTTGCCCCGATTCGAGGGGTTACCCACTCCCGATTTTCGCGTACACACGATTCCCAATTTCAAGATTCCCAAGATTCCAAAATGATTCCCAGATTCCTGAAGATTCCTGAAGATTCCAGAATGATTCCTGTAATTTCAGAGATTCCCATCTGATTCCATGATTCCCACGTGATTTCAATGATTCCCACGTGATTCCGACAAGATTTTCTCGCGATTCCGGTAGAAATTTAAATGGTTCGCGGGCTCGCGGGTCCGTATGGGTCGACAGGTATGAAAATCTGTGATGCGCATGACAGCGAGCTAGAGTCCTAAAGGCCCTAAAGGGGAATGAGGCGGTATTTCGTCCTCCCTCAACGGGCAATTGGTCTTTGGACCTTCCTTTTGCGTGCCTTTGTTACGGAAAGCGATTATCTGCCTTAGTTTGGGAGCAATACTGCCGCAAAGTTGATCAAAACGGTCACAAATGTCCGTGAAAAATCGTGTTTTGGGCCGACTTTAAGCATCTACTGCGTCTGATCCGAGGCGGTATTTTGTCCTCCCTGTGCGAATATCCGCCTTAGTTTGGGAGCAGTGTTGGTTCAAAGTTGATCAGAACGGTCAAAAATGCCTTTGATAAATCGTGTTTTGGGCCGACTTTAAGCAGCCACTCACCACTGCGTCTGACCCGAGGCGGGCCTTCGTACTTTTTCAACGGGCAGTTGGTCTTTGGACCTTCCTTTAGCATGCCTTTGTTACGGAGTGCGATTATCCGCCTTAGTTTGGGTGCAGTATTGGCTCAAAGTTGATCAGAACCGATTTTAAAGGCATTTTTGGCCGTTTTGATCAACTTTTAGCCAATAATGCACCCAATCTAAGGCGGATAATCGCACTCCGTAACAAAGGCATGCTAGAGGAAGGTCCAAAGACGAACTGCCCGTTGAAAAAGTACGAAGGCCCGCCTCGGGTCAGACGCAGTGGCTGCTTAAAGTCGGCCCAAAACACGATTTATCAAAGGCGTTTTTGACCGTTCTGATCAACTTTGAGACAATACTGCTCCCAAACTAAGGCATATAATCGCACTCCACAACAAAGGCATGCGAAAGGAAGGTCCAAAGATCAAATGACCGTTGAGAAAATACGAAGGCCCGCCTCAGATCGGACGCAGTAGCTGCTTAAAATCGGCCCAAAACACGACTTTTTGGCGAGCGATAGCGAGCCCATGCCGTGTTTGGGGGTACCAAAAAGTGACTGGTCGTGCGTCTGTCTGTCTGTCTGTCTGTAACTCACTCACGTTTCTCAGCAACTACCGCACAAATAGTTTCAAAATTTCGCACCGGAAGGCTCCTAAATCTCCCCCAGGGGGAGTTTATTGGCTGAGCGATAGCGAAGCCTGTTACTCCAGTGGGGTTGAAAGTTTTGTCTGTCTGTCTGTCTGTCGGTCTGTCTGTCTGTCTGTCGGTCTGTCTGTCTGTCCGCACTACTCCTCCTGAACGGCTCGGCCGATCTCGGTGAGATTTT